GTCAATAGAAAAGGACCGTATTAAAAAACATATATTGAAACTTTTCCCACTACAGAATCACATTATGTCAGAAAAAAATCTAAAAGGCATTATCTTGATAGCCGTTTATCAATTTCTAAAATGCACGAGCTCTATAAATAATTATGTATAAATTACATATTATGTGTAAAAGACGACAGTGCAGAGGCCAGAGACTAGAATTTTAAAGCACTAAGCAGCAACTATAGTTTTATTTATTGTTTACTTTAGTGTAGTGCAGGCGTGCAGCCTGTGGTTCTCAAACTGTGCTTCGTGGAGCCCCAGGGCTGTGCGAGCGTAGTCTAGCGGCTACGTAGACATATTTGAATTAAATAAAATAACATTTGGTTTAACATGCTTAAATTATTGATAATAAGTAATAACTAATAAGTCATAACTCGCATATTTTGTTTCATAGTCTAAAACGATATTAAATGCGAGTTGGTTGATGGTTATAACCTTTAATGATTTTGTCGTTTATTATATTATTAATTCTATTATAAAAAAGAAATTAATGAGCAAAATATCAATCATGTATAATTTTTCATGAGTTACCTATGTACCTATATATTTTTATGAGTATTCCTTATTTTTTGACATCGTAGATCTTTTTTAGTAACATAAGGACTCCAGGTTCAATGGCCAATAACACTGTGTTTATGTGCAGCGAAGATTCATCGTAATAACCCACCCATCCGGAAACTTGCGACGGCGGACGATGCTTGACCGCAGCACACATTAGTGACTGAAGCCCAACCACTGCACCGCGCCACAACAAATTTTAATAGCACCTAATGTTTATCTAAATTATCAAAAGGTTATATTTTTTTTTTATAGTACATTAGTTGTTTTATTCTTAGGAGGACGCTACCCATGCATTTGTTGTCTCCGTCTTACACACGAACATAGGCGTGCGCAGGGGGGCAGTAGAGGCAGCATATGCTGCCCCTGGACTTACTTTGGGGCCACCGGGGCCGGCAAATATTAAATAATGGGCCTCGGTAAAATTATATTTCCACAAAGGATTTTTTTTGTTTTGATAAACTATAGATAAATATTTTATATATATGCTTGTAGAAAAGTACACCTTTAGTGGCTTAGTACCTTACTGTACAACCTTTTATCCAAAAAAACAAATAACCAATACAATTTTAATTGTCATATCCAATAGTAAAAAAAGTAAAACTATGGGCTGGTTTTAATGGTGAATTTGAAAAATGGGCCGAATTAATCTCTTGCTGCCCCTGAAACCGGAGGCTGCGCACGCCTATGCACACGAACGACATACCAAATTTCCGTTTACTAGTTTCAATAATGTGTTGTTAGTTTTAATATTAGAGTGAATTGACCTATTATCATACTTTTAGGTAAGAATATTATCTGTGTTTAAGCGTTGGCGATATTTCAATGTTTTTATTTTCAAGTAATATATGTGTATGTGAAATATCAAAAATGAAAAATGCTCATATCTCGCTTGAAAATTAAAATATCGAATAAAAGCCAACGCTTAAAGACAGATAATGTTATTATCTAATATCAAAAATGTTACAACAGGCATCAAAAATAATAGTATACTATTGAAACTAGTGAACGAAAATTTGTTACGTTGTAGACAACAAGTGCATGGGTAGCGTCAGAATCTTATCCAGGGGGGGGAGTCCATGGGTTCTGGACCCCCCCCACCCGAAATTTTTGTATACCGGTATATAAAAAAATAAAAGGTTTTATATATCAATTAAGCATAAAAATTGTACTAACATTTATTTCTAGCCCCCTAAAATAAAAACCTGTCTACGTGCCTCCTCTTAAGAGTTACAAAATCAACTGACTAACATTTTAGATCCCAATTGCCCTTAAAACGCCACGGGACACATTGATAAAAAGTTATTTATTTATGATTGTTATTTGTTTTAATCAATATATTTCTTTAAAAATAATTCAAGAGCTTGCAAATATGAAGTGAAATTAAAAACTTGCATGTAACGTATGGTGTGCTTACATAGCTGATTAGCTGCTAGTTTCCCATAAGACAAAATAGTCACGGGCGGACAATGCTTCGCGGCGTTTCAGATAGGCAACCAATGTACATCACATGTTGATATAGTTGCCAACAGAACAAAAAATAAGAAAGATTTTCCACTATTTTTGGTAGGTTCCATCAATTGTGTTATAATATTTTAAAGACAATGATATTATCAGGATCCCATAATTTTTACAACATAACTATATGACCATTGATTTTTTTAATTTTTCGAGTTGGCCAGTTGAGGTGTTTGAGCACTTATGTGCTCAGACACGTAGCCGGGGGGTTGGCTGGGCGCCTGGGCCTGGGCCACCCCCAAATTCATATTCAAATTATATTACTAAATATCAAAAACATGCTATGTTCATAGCTTATGCACATTAAATGAATATATTGTGATAATTATTCGTTAAGGGGGCTCCTGTCGGTTGTGTTTTAAGGAAATTCATATAGGCAATTTAACATTATGATATTAAAATGACTTGTAAGTATGTACAAAGTAAACGATTATTAGTGTGTTAAAATTGAGTATGTGTGAGTTTAATCTGTAATCGTTTTTTTGTCAATATTTCCTAGAAATGTCCTGAATTATAACAGTAGGTCCGCATAATTTATACCATCCGGTAGGTTGGACGATGTGTACATTCATGTATAGTCAATTAAATTACTTACGCACAGGCATTGGCAATGATATTAAATAAATTAAATAAACTTTTTAAATTTAAAAAAAGTGATTTTTTCTGTTTTGGGACCAAAAAGCTAGACAAAACTGAAGGAATTTGGTTTGACGGATTTCAATTTTTAAAACTGATTTACTAGGTTTCGGTCGAGGTGATTTTAAATACCTATTAGCTGTGTATTATTATTGTATTGTTTATCTGTGATATCTATGAATAAAAATATGATATTTTTGTATTCATATTATTCATTATTACACAAAGGCCGTTCTGACAAGTCCGGTTAAAGTTAACCGACATTGAAGCCTTGTTCACACTACACCGTGTCGTGTAGGTAATTTCTTATTTTTATGTTAATACCAAAATCCAATACCAATGATATGAAATCTGCGCCTAACCATCAGATAGGCGTCAACAGCGCTCCCTTCATTAATTTGTTATACCAGCATATAAAGTTTCAATAACAAATTTAATTTATTAGAAAAAGTAAAATTACTAGTATAAAACTATATAATATATTATATCCCGAATCGGAGGGTACAAATTGACTGAAATTGTTTCCATCAGAGCGGGTTTTGTTAATTTTCTTCCCCAATTAAAAGTCGAAATAGTTAGGTATTTGTCAATGTATCATGGACTGATGGACATAAATAGACGGCTGTCGGATGTCGACTCGCCTAATGCATCGTATAGCCGTATAGGTATTGTTTAGCGATTAGATACTGACGAGTTGTCAATGAAGAAATATTCAAGTTTAATATTACTTACATTAGTTATAAATTTGCTTATTTGAATTACACTTGAACGATGACTATTGACTATGTTAATATAATACAATGAAACGTATTGAAAGAACGGGCACACGTGTCGTATGCAGGTATGCTATCTACCAAGAAAATGATATCTACAAAAATCTACGTATACGTGTCGTATGCTATCTACCAAATCAATCATATTATATAAAAATCTACAAATCTTTCGCATAAACTTAATCCACTATTATTTTTTCCATTGTTATTTGTTGTCGATGTAAGTAAAAAATGGATTTTCTTTACGAATGGATTGCCATGTTTGACAACCCTTTTTTTACATCGTAAATATTTTGTTATAATAATATCTCCGTTTACATCACGTTTCCTGCTTTTTTTTAGTTTCCTTCATTTCACCATTACATTGTTCTCCAATAGAATTTAATTTTGTATAAAGTTTTGTATTAGGTAATAAATCACGATCTTTTAAAAATTGTATACAAGTTTCGTCATTAAAAATAATTTTTCTATATAATTCACCCAAAGTACTCATTTTATAAAACCATAAATTTACAATTAATAAAAAACACACAACTACAACGTTTGATCTCGGCGATCAACGAACATACATACTAAATTCTAAAATACAAAATAACTCTGAAATTCCTAAAGGAATTATAAATATATATAATATATAGAAATATACGTCAATACGAATTACGGTAGATAACGTAGATACGGTAGATAGCATACGACACCGTCAATTTGTTGGTAGATAGCATACGACACGTAAAGAACGTATGTAAGAGTAAGAGTACGTTACACCAACATTTGTTGTCTCCGTCTTACAAGTGCGTAACATACCAAATTGTAGGCTCAGTATAACGCGTTTAACTCCGTTAGTTTAAAAATGATACTGATTAGCTTTTGGTACTGGGTTAATTTTTCTTCCGCTTTTTGGCACTTTCATGGCCACATGCGAATTGAGGGTTTTTTATCGCAATATATAGTGATGTGGACTGGCGACTGTTACAGATGTCGAAGAAGCTTAGCCATAGTTTATCTTTAATTACATAAAGCGTTCGGGAAACCACGAACACTAATGATCAGGAATCAGTCACACAGCACTCACAATGGATTTAGAATATTGTGGTTATAATATTATATGGTTCGCTTTCAACTTACTTTTTAATAATTATATTTTTAACATTTTAATTTGTGTTGTAGGTGTTGACGTGTTTACCGTGTTGTCTTAAAAAAATTGTTATTAAGAAAACTAAAAATTTACAATAAGTTCTTTAATTTATAAATTACAAAAGTTAGTAAAATCTATAGAAAATAATATATTATAAAATAACCATATAAAATGAATATATACATACATTAAAATACTTGAATGCAGAGATAAACTGATCCAATAAAATAAATAAATTAATAAGAGTTGGTCAAAAAATGAAAAGTAATAAAACATGATACAAGGGTACATTAAAAAAGCTGTTTATCCACATTGCAATTTTTAAATTTACATTATTCTTAAAATTGATCGTATGTTTCATTCGCTATGTCGGCTATTGTGGGTAATTCGGTTCTAAAAAAAAAATATTTGGATTAATTATAAATATTTCTATTAAAATAAATTATATGTATTAGTTGTTTGTTATCTTAGTATTACCCCGCAAACCAGTGGCGCACACTGGAGGGTTCAATGGTAGCAGCTGCTACCCCTGATTTTTTTGGTAGGTGGGTGGGTGGACTCCCTGGCTCAAAAATACTTACATCATGAAAATTCTACTACTTATATATATATTGAAAATAAACTATTGAATATTTATAAGTTATAGCCATTAGTCTATTAGCCAATATAGAGGTAACCGAAGCAATTTTCTACCCCTATTTATTTTTGAGTGTGCGCCACTGCCCGCAACCAGAAGGTTACATACAGACATTTTTATTTGCCATAAAAAAACTTTAAATTATAAATTAATAATAATTTTAATTAAACATATATTACTCATAAACACAAAAAAATTAGACGATTTCCCAAATCCTTAAAACATAATTTTTACAATTTGTACACATTTTATTTGTTTAATAACAGGGGGAACGTCCAATGAATTTGGGGAGGGGAAGGCAGGATGGGGAAACGTCCTAGAATCACATCAAATATATATAAATATAGAGAAATACCAACATTTTTGATTAAAAAGACAGTTGATGTACAATTTACTGATAAATTTTATATTTGATAGGGAGGGGGGATAACAAACAAGTTACAATTAATAAATAATAAGTTAAAACTAAAAATAGGCTAATAATAATCATTAATCATACTAACTTGGGTTTTTTAAATGTTTGGTTCATAACATTTTCTAATGGTTCTTCTTCTTCTTCTTCTTGGATGGGTTCATGTTTCTACAATAGAACATAAAACAATTTTTTTTTTATAGTTTAGTTTATATTTAATTAAGTGCAGTGACATAGCTGGTAGTATCTTAAGCGTTTTATTTAGATCAGTGTTTCCCAACCTTTTTACCACCACTGACCACTTCGACAATATTTTATAGGTCGCGGACCACCTCAATTTCACGCAAACTAGAAAGAGACCTTTTTTTTTTTTTTGCTCATTAACAAGAATACACAAGACCTACCTACTCACTTATAAAAGTGGAAAATACTTATCGGTCGTCGGTAGAAACAACGACAAGATAACCGTATATTACGGTAAAATAAAATATTTTTCGCTGTTTAAAAAAAAAAAAATAATTTTTAATAGAAAACTAAGAAAGGTACCGCGGATCACCCACAGACCACCACCGGTTGGGAAACACTGATTTAGATCAACATTTTGTCTCAAATATGTGTTAATAAATTACCTATTATATTAACCTAACTCTCTCTTTCCAATTTATGTCACACTTAAATATTTTAATAAAAGTTATAACTTGTTAGCATCACTTTTACTCTATTTCTTAAATTACTAGACAAAAATCAGGATACATGTTATATGTTTTTTTTATCAACATAAGAAATTAAACTAAAATAGCAAAATACATTATAATATTACTGCATAAATTGTACTTAACTTGATTTAAATTAATTTCCTAATGTTCAATAGTTAAATAATCAATAAAATATATTCTGAAATCATATGATAAGACTTACTGGTGAATGTCTGTTTGTGCATACTGCAGCAGAACATTTACAATACTTGGAACATGACAAATTCTTTTTTTGGCACATACAAATATTTTTTAAACAATTTTTTATACATAGACACATTGGATGTCCTTCAGCATTTCTTTTTAAATTTAAGCGATTTTCTCGTTCTTCGGAAGGTTCAAACATTCTGCTCTAAATGTTCATAATAAATTTAAATAAATTATATTTCAAATTAATAAATTATACTAACTTACCTCTCGTTTTAGCTTGTTCAAACGTCGACGTAATGGTGTAATATCTACACAATTCTCTTTGGTATCATCAATCACAGAATTAGTCTGTAACAAAAATAATTGACTATGAATCACATCTAAAAATTATAACAGTTCTAACATACTGGAGTTATAGGGGAAGAATTCATAGTTTTCGATTTTGAAGACTTTGAACGATGTGAACTAATACCACTGTTTACAACTGTTTGAAGATCTGATATTAGCTTGTCTTTTTGATTTAATTCTTCTCTTAGCTGTTCAAATTTACTAAGTTGATCATCGTAGATCCTGAATCGTTCCGTAAATTCACTACCATCGCCTCCATTTGATGCACTTTCTTTTTCATTTAATTGCCTCAATAAAACTAGAATCTAAAATTAAATATAATTAATAATTTCTGCCGGCATAAATTTTAGTATAATAGTATTACATTGTCTTCATATTCTTTTTGGAGTTGTTCTACTTGCTTTTGATGTTTGTTCATTAAATCTAATATTTTTTTTTCTCCGCTTTTCACAATATCTTTCTTTTCAAGTAAAGATGCCTAAAAACAAATCATCAAAAATTTTAACCTTATAGGTACCAAAATACTTTTAAATCAAATTAAATTTATTTGTTAGTAATTAAAGAGTTGTTAATTTTAATTAATGAACCTAATAGTTGTCTTACTTTAAGTTCCTCAATTTGATTCTGTAATTCTAACATAGCTCTCCTATTATCGGCAGCCACATGGAATACATGTTTTAAGGCAGTTTTGGTATCAGCAATAGTTGTTAAATGATCAAAACGGTTTTTCTTCATCAGTTCTGTTAACAAATATTAATTATTTAAAAAAATTCCAAAACCTCTATTTTGTTTAAAAATTCAAAGTTCAAAGAACATAAATATCATATATGAATGAATGGATGTGATTGGTGTTTTTTTTTAAAAATAGCAACAAGTTAAATTTTAAATCTATAATAATAGTACTTGGATAGAAAGCAAGGAAAAATGTTGGAGCAAATAAATGAGAATATATAAAATATTTAAAATTTAACACCAAAAGTACATAAATAAAACATTTATGACGAAATGTCACGAATGGAATTTTTACTGAATTCATTTCATGGGTAGCCTAAAATACCACTATCTTGTGCCAAGTAAAAAAAGAATTACAACATTTGGTGTGAACTTAAAAGGCACAAACACAGTTATATTCAAAACTTAACTAATACAAAAAATTATACTACCATTTAAGTGCATGAATTTAATTTTAAATGTTGCATACCTTCATTACTATCAAATATTTTCTGTCTAAGGTCCATGATCTGAGCAGTTCTTAACTGTAATTCTTCAGTTATTTCATTTTTATCCATTTTCAAACCATACTTAAACTCATCTGTGAGTCCTGTTGTTTCTAATTGTTCCTATAATATATGATCATTATTAGACGATATAAAGATTTTGTATTTCATATATCTTAAATTTGTATTACTTCACATCTCTGTATCATTTTATATATTGTTTCTCGGTCTATTTCTAACTGCTCTAAAGTTTTTTCTGCATCAACTGTACTCATTAGCACATCCAACTCTTCATTTACCCATTTTTGAATACGCTGAGCTTTTGGCATAAATGCTTCATCTCTTTTAACTTCAATAGCTTTGCGAACAGCAAGAGCATCCTAAATAATAATTATAGAAATTAACAGACTAATAGATATTGAAAATGTATTATAATATGATATGATTAATTGAATTACTTTGAGTCTTTTATTAACATTTGCAGCTTCCTCTAATTTACGTTTCAGAGCTGCTTGTTGCCTAACATGCAATCGTTCCATACGAATCATTTGATTTTTTTGTTTACGTTCATTTTCTTTTAGACGACAAAGTTCCCGATCACGTTCCAACTTAAACTGTCTGAACTTTTCATTTTCACTTTTCATTTGTTGAATTAATTTTACTTTCATAACTTTAATGCTCTAAAAATAAAACCGATACCATAAAAGTAAAGAGAGTAAAAAATATAACATAAACTTTTTTAAGTATTATTATCATATATCTAACTCACCTTTATTTCATTATTTAAGTTTTCTACTTTTTTATCATTCTTAGCTTTCATCTTAATAATTCGATCTTGTTCTAAACACTTCTTAGTTAGATTTGATATTTTTTGTTCAAGCTCTTGCAACTTTTTACGTCTTTGTTCAGACAACCTGTATAATTAAAAAATATTTTACAAAAATCACAATTGTATAAATTATCATGTAAAATAAATAAAAGAAAACATACTTAGAATTAATATTGTTTGTTTGAGCAGCTTTAAGAGCTTCTTCCAATTGATCACGTTCTTGTTTTAATTGTTCAAGTTTATTTTTCAATTCTTCAGTATTTTCTTCGGGACAGTATTCACCAATATGTGAAACTGATTCAATTAGTTTAGCAGCCAAATGTTCCTTCATAGCTAGTTCTTTATTTAGTTTGTTTAGTTCACGATTTAACTGTATAGTTTCCATAACCATTTGCTCTTTAGTTTGATCAGTTTCATTATCTGGCTCAGATACATCATCTTCATCCATGTCTTCAGTAGCAGTAACATAGTCATCTCCAGTAATTTCTACTTCAGTTCTATTATGCTCATCCTACAAATACGTGAAAACATTTTTTAAATTTTTAAGTTAGTCCTATTATGAAATTTTAGTAACATACCATAATTGAGCCAATTTTATGTTTTATGTTATTAAATTCTTCTAAATTGTTGCATTTCAGTGCATTTTCAAAATCTATTTTTAATTCTTCAAGATTTTTTTTCATTGTATCACGCCCAGTTTCAGCCTTTTTTAAAAAAAAAAGTATTAATAAAACAAATACTTAATTTTATAAATCATTAAATATTTACTAATAAAGCTTTCATATTTAGGGATGCGCTTTGTGTCATGTATTCACTTAATACTTGACTCATAGCCCGTATCTTTTCTTGTAAATCTTTATTGGTTTTTTGCAATGTATTATGTTCTGGTGGGCAACTAACAAAACCATTAGTTTCCATTGCAACTATTTTTAATTTCAAATCCTGATTCTAAATAAACAAAAAAAAAATCAATATAAAAGACTGAATAATATTATTTTTAAGTAAAATTTAAATTAATTACTTCTTTGGAAAGTGCAGAAATCTGGGCAGTAATTGGATCCTGATTTATAACGGGCTTATTTTTAATTTGTAATGCTCTATTAGCATACCTCAGAGTACTCACAGTTTCATCCATATTATAGTCAGCAGGACTAATA